GTCTGGGGCTGATTAAGTCGATGGTCAATGTATCCTCCTTGTGTAAAAGACAACAAGTCGTCCTTTAACGTATCTAATTCGCTTTTAAATTTACTAATGTTTTCCATTTGTACTTCTTGCCACTGCTGTAATCTCTCTTCTTGTTTCTTTTCTCGTTCTTCTTGTTTCTTTTCTTTTTCCTCCAACAACTGCTGTAATTTCTTCTTGTTTATTTTGTTGTTCGAGCTGCCATTGTTGCAGGTTTTCTTGCAACTGCTGTTGTCTCTCTTCTTGTTTCTTTTCTTTTTCCTCTAACAACTGTTGTAATTTCTCTTCCCGTTCTTCTAGTTTCTTTTCTTTCTCCTCTAACAACTGTTGTAATTTCTCTTCTCGTTCTTCTTGTTTCTTTTCTTGTTTTTATATTGCTGCCATCAAATCTGCTAAGCTGTAGTTTGATTTTCCGCCTCTCGTTTCCATCTTTTTCTCTTTTTTATTTCTATCCCACTTCTGACACCAATTTGTTACGTCTCCGTTTGTTAATTAACTTTCCGTAACTTCGTTCCGACGAAACTTTAGCGACACAAGTTCTTTACTTATAAAACTGGTTTATTCTTTCCGAATACAACTTTACGATACCCTTATTTTCAACAATCGCGCTAAAACAAACGCTATATCAACGAACGTCAATAATACTTCTGACTGCAGTTCAATTACTCACTATCCACACACACATTACATTACTTTCTTATATATACCCGCCTACACCATCTAGTAAATACTAGAGCATTCATGAAGAAACAAGATAGTTCTAGAAACTAGAGGGCGCCACACCAGTCACGTGACCTCGATGACGCAACATTATCATAACTGATAATTCTAGTCTTCTATTGAAACTGCCAGAGTGAATATCGAGATCGCAGGCTTGTCCAGATCTGTACATTGCAGTAATTAGGCGGCGCCACCATTTAGATGTCAATCGGGGGAGGGGGTATTCTAAGTAGGTAACTGCAGGTTCTTTATTTATGCATTTTAAAGATTAGATGTTCTTAAAAGATTGTTGATAGTTATTTTGAATTTAGTTTCAAATGACTTCAAGAACAACCCCCATTAAAAACAGCAACAACAGATTTTTGTCTTTCATAAATCTGCATGGATTTTCTTTTATTTTTTTGTTTTGAATTTCGCGCAAAGCTACACGAGGGCTATCTGCGCTAGCAGTGTAAGACTAGAGGGAAGGCAGCTAGTCATCACCACCCACCGCTAACTCTTGGGCTACTCTTTTACCAACGATTAACAGTCACATTATAACGCGCCCACGGCTGAAAGGGCGAGCATGTCTGGTGGGACGGGGAGTCGAATCCGCGAACCTCAGATTGCGAGTCAAGAGCCCAAACCATCTGGCCATGCTGGGCCTTCTTTTATAAGCAGAAACTAATCAAATAAGTTTTTCATAAGCCTTTTTAAAATGTCGCCAATAACAAAAACTGTATCTTAATTATTTGCTTTTATATAGTTTTTCTATCATGTACATTACGAAAATTTAATTTATGTATTGTGGTTTACGCTCTTGTATCCGAATTCTTGACCGATATGTTTCTAGCATTCAGTAGGTAGTCTCTTGGCACATTATGGATAATCTATTAATCTTTTCCGTTGTTTTGCTATTCTATAATTTTACAAGTTAACGATGTATTGTTAGTCATAATTGAAAAGTTAACTCTATTTTTATTAATTACAAATAAAATATATAATATAACGGGTGTGTGTTTCTTCTAGCAAAGCGGCCAAAGCCACATAATATAATGGAAGGTGCCAGGATAAGATTCGAAATACTTTATTACTATTTATCCCTTTGCTAATATATTGGTGCAAAGATAAATTATATATATATAAACGATATAATTTGATAATATATGTTATTTTGCATTATCTCAAAACTAAACATATTTGGAATTAAAACGTAACTCAAAAATGATTATTTTGTAACTTAAAATACTAACATAAAACACACCAAACATACAAAAGGAAAACATCATTCAAACGTTTTACAAAACTGAAGGCAACAATAAAACTTCTAAAAATGTTTAAGTTATAACTTGATATAAAGCATCATGCTTTACGCTTGTTTATAAGAACAACTGTGGGGGGTAAAAAACCTTAGTCACGTGATTGAATTTACAATGTATGTGTTTATGTGTGCGTTACGCTGTTGTGGTTGATGGCGCCAAGCGACAGAAGAAAGTAACCATGTTGTTGAGGTGGCTTAATTATGGATAAAAGCGTTTTAAAGATGTTGATTGGTATTTTTACCTGTTTATAAACTTAGCATTAGTGCTTACATCGGTTGGAAGTGCATAAAAGAATTTGGTGTAAAGGTGAGCGTTATATGTTAGCTGTAAATTCCTAATACGGTAATTGGAGGTTGGGCAAATAAGATGCGAGGTACGAGTCGCACGGTCATGGCCGCTTTGCTGTTGCTTTGGGTGCGTGTCATGCTTGTTATAGGCTAAGTTAGGCTATAAGTGTAACAAACGTATCTTGCGTTGTGTTACGGTATGATGTATAACTCGAACACATTTGGCAGGAAGCGTCTTTGATAATAGGCGTTGTTAGTTTTTATTGTTTTGTGCAAAACAAGTGTATTGTATGTTTTTTACCAATTTAATTTCAAAAATCTTCAGTAAGAAAATTGGAGATCAGTCAAATTGCCAAACAACTGTCGTAATATTTGCGAATTGCAATGACATTTAGCGACTTAAATATGTTTTTAATTTTATGTTGATAAAAGTTAATTACTAAATCATATTTCATAACCTCAACAAGTAGCTTGTATTTTACTGCTGTGGTGTAGTGTCATTATTACAATAGTTAAAGGTCTGACCAGTGTTCTAAACTTGTTTCCTCACACACTGTGTGACACAGCCACAGTTGGTATTTTCAAGTGTATTTAAATCAATTAGGACATATTTTGTTGTAATTGTAAATCAAATATAGTGAGTTGCCAGTAACATGAATAACTACAGTATGCCAAAAAAGTTGTCCAAAAATATTTTCAGCAGGTTAAGTGTACAGAATTTAATAAAATTATTCTTTAACAATTAAATACATCAAATATAGATTCTTGTGACTTGTACTGGAAATTAACACCATGTGTTTTTAGTTTTAAATTCATATTATTTGGTAACTGCATCATTAGTACATTAACTGGTCTGCTGAGAATTTTATAGCATTTTATGAGGTGGTCAGTTTTTAGTTATAATTCTAGTCATTGTTTATTTATAAAAGTCATATATTTAGAGGGTATTAATAGCATTTGATAGCTTTTTAATTTTTCTTTTTCTATGTACGTTAATTAACTGAAATAATATCTTGTAAGGAGCAGTGCTCATCCAGACCATTTTTAATTTGTAGCCACTGATTTTGGGGCAAAAAAATTTATAGCTAAACCTAGCATAAGATTCAAACATGAGACAAATATCAAGAACTAAAGAAATGTTTATTAAAATATTTAATGGATTTTTTTTAATGAAAAGTGAAAAGTCTGTGTATATTTCATTTCAATTTTTAAATTCATTGCTCTTTTTTTTAAGAAGGTAAAGAATGTAATTTTATTAATTCCATTAACCAAATATAAACTATATAAAATATTACTATCTGAGATTCATTTTTAAATAAACTAATATTAACTTTCAGTTAGAGCAAGCTACCTACTTAAAGCACAACTAAAATCAACTTGGTATTGGGAATACGTATAACTAATGAAATATACTTTTTTAATGGTATCATTTTTAAGGATTAGAGTGCATTTTTTATCAGTTCAATGCCCTTGCTGTTAATAGTATTTTTGGCCATAATCACAATCATACCTCACAAAGTTCAGATAGCTTGGGAGATTTAGGTTAAGCCCAAATATGTGTATTAATAATTAACGTATAATTTATTGTGAAATAATATAATAAAAATTGTCTTGTTTTTCAAACATGATTTATCTATACCTTTATTTTACTCCTTACAAGCCAACTTCAATAGTTTACTAATCAAGTTTTTAATAACAAGAAGATATCTGATGTCTGACAAGAGGTGTGGTCAGCTGTCCTTGATGTTTATGTTAGTTAAACTTATAATTTTCTTGATTGTTCATGGAGAAACAAATAGATTACACTTCCTGACCATTTGACATAGTGTCATATTCTTTTTGTGAAATGTTGATTCTTATTAGGATGTTACGCTATCTAGCTTGATTTTAGGATTTATTTAATAAGTTGAATGAATAATCAGTAGCGTGTTTACACAATAGACTTTGATGGAAAAAGTGATAATTATGATTGTCAAAACAAAAATGTTAAACTATGATTAATCCAATATTCATACATAATTAAGGGAATTAATAGCACTAAAATGTTAAAGTACAGTGAGTGAATAATTTGCAGCATTTTAATGACAAGTGTTTGTCACATCTACAGTGGCCAGTTATATCAGTTATAAGACCAACTATTATAGCAATAGATAAATGAAATAATGCATTTGAAGATTCCAAATAAAAAAATATATATCACAATTTTTATCTCAATTTTTTAAATCACCAAAGTCATAAAATATTTCTAAATTTTCGACAGTTTAACTGTTAGGTTGAGCACCGCAGAGTAACTAAAAGGTTAAACATAAACATTCTCTCACTGAATATACACCAGTTATATGAAAAGTTAGTCTAATTAACAGAACAGCAAACCTTAGAGTAGCAGACTAAATGCCCTACAACAAACAGTTTTTCTGGAGACAATTATTTAAGGTAAAAAAAAAAGTGAAAATTAAAAAATTGTTGAGAAGTGAAGTGCCTAAAGTCAATTTTGACAATTAAAACTGAATAGGTGGTTAACTACAGAACTATAAGTACAAAACACCCACAGCTTTGATCAGAATTACATGCCAAGAATCTTCAACATGCCTTCTATGGTGAAATTGGCTGATGAGTTAAATTTCAAGCTTGGTGATGTTGTTGCAGTAATATGACCATATGCTCCAAAGTCATTTTTTTTTTACATGGTAGTTGGATTATGGGACTTTCTTTTTTTGTTACCTGATGATTATTTAATTCAATTTGACAGTACAAAGAATCAAACATATTTTCAACATTAATTAGCTTACGAGTGGATACAACTTGATAATTAACACATTTTTTTATTTTACAGGCATTTAAGTCCAACAGCCCACCTGCTAGTGCAGGTAGGTGTGTTTTAAAATGGCCTCTGCTGCTAAAGGCAAAAGGAATTTCAGTGTATCACAAGATACACGAGGTATGTCAGATTTGTTTTGTTCATTTTGTATGATAACAATAATTAAAACTTTAAACTTTTTAAGTAACCTTAATGTTTTTATGTACTCATCATCCAATATTTTAGTGGTTTGTAAATTTTTTATCGCAGTGTATTTTAATGGCATACTTTTTTATTTTGCCACAATACACTACTGACCAATTGTTTAAATAATAAGATTAAAATTTTATGATTAATACAAGTAATTTCCAGAAATCAAATGTTTTCAGACAAACACTGTGATTTGTTTCCTTAACAATTGTATTTCTAATGTTACAACTCATCCATGGTATGCCCTATTTTAACTCTTTCAGCACGGGGTCAATCCCTGGGACTGACCTCATAATTATTTTGTGCTTGTTATAGTTTTTAAGCTATATCTTTTAAATTAATAAGTGTATGTTTATGAAATTTGGCAGATTATCAGTAAACATTACAAGGCTTTCATATGCAAAATATCAGATTTTTTATTAAGTCTTAAGGTTTGCTAAGCAATGTTCTTCTCATGCTTTTTTCTTTTCACATATTGCCTATCCAACATGCAAAGTAATTTTCATTTTAAGATTAAAAATACTGTTATGAATCAGAAAAATTTCAAATGCGAAATCTTCATAACTTCCTGATAGTTATCAAATGTTTCTTATGAAAAACTTTATATTTTGTCTGTTATTTTCACTAACGATTCTCTGTACGGGTTTGGTCGAGTTGTCTGATCTTATAACCACCATAAAAATGAGGAAATAAATATGAATTATGCCTTTTTTGTCCTAGAATGACTACAAATTTTAACACAAAAACACAAATGTTTACTCTAAATATCTGAAATGTCATAACATTATACATTTATATATATTTATTATTTTGACCTTTCAGCCATACAATGACACGGTGCACGTGCACTCATGTTGCCATGTCCAAGTATAGCAACAATTA